GCAAACACCTTTCTTATATCGTTGGAACCAACGCAACTTCTTATCCTATACTAGGATATACATCCGCATTCGGTTTTTCAACACTATATTTGGTTGTAGGAAATTATAGGTCGCTGTTAGCTGAGTGTGCAACACTGCGTAAATCTCGTTGTTTTCACAGGAGTAAAGTGAGCAAGATTCAGCATTTCTAGTCTGAGACATTGAAAGCGAAATATGAAGCAAACAAAATTCTGGCTGGCTCCTAATTCCATAGTCCGAAGTGGGATGGGATTCCTAGTAGGGGCAAAGATGGAGCAGTGACTTGTACTAAGTGCAAAAAAAGGTGGTTAACTAACCCCGGAAACGAAGTTAAAGGTAGTATCCGGGCGAAAACTCGATTTCTAGAAAATTCACATACCTGGGGTTATCCGCAACACTAAATCCGGAAATCATTAAAAAGCGCGAAAACGGCGAGGACATGCGTCAAAGCCTTACAATCAGATATAGGACCATACCTTCGATAGTCTAGAGACAGGGCGTCAAAAGTGAAGGTTGTTTAAACATCTGACGTCATAAATAGTGAAGGTTGTTTGAAGATGATCAGAGAAGAGAAAATGACTTAAAACAGATATAGAAAGCAAAAGAAACTGCTGAAAACCGGATAAAAACGCTGTAATGAGGCTTGAAATCTTTCATTTGGCGGCTTTTCGAAGTGCAAGTTTTCGCTTCACCAGCAATTCGCAATACGGGGTTTTGATTTATGACGCGTCCTTTGAATTTTTACCTCCGCATTGACGTTCTTGTTTCCTGGGACGTTGTTTGGATTGTTGCGCTTATTGTTCTGAGCAACAATCGCCCAAGCTGGAAAAAAATCGATGCGAAAGCACTGAAACTGAACAAGGTAAAGAAAAACGCACTTTTTACGATTTTTCGCTAAAAAATCCACAATAATCGAACAGATAAAGGATGAGTGGTTGTCTGCATTATGAACAGAAGTAAGATCTATAGAATGCATGAAAAAACCGCGTGGAAATAGTTAAACCAGGAGAAAAACAAGAGATTTTCAAAAACAAGGTTTTTGCCGGATTTCTTGATCAAATCAAAAAGTGTGGTTCTGAGACGTTGTCAGCGTGATAATTGTGATCAAGAGCGTCAAAATAATATACAAAGTGTCCCAAAAAGATGTGCACACTGTTTGATCGTTAATAACTCTCTTGCTTTCATGTCTTTTGCCGAGCTTGAGGTACCATTCTGTAGGGCGATGTTCAACTTAAGGACAGCTACCTAACTTAGCCCGGCCTTTTGGTAAAACGCATATAAATTCTAAATCAGTTTCAAACGCTGATTCCAAATATGCTATTTTTAGCTGCCACGCGCCATTCCGAAGCGAGTTATGGGCTTTTTCCTATGCAAAATTGGCATACTACTGAGCATGAGAAGACTGCCTGTAGATAAAAATCTGCAAGAAAAAGGTGCTGAGGTATCAAAATAGTATAAATCCAATCTTTTTTTCACTAAAAAAGTTTAACGCAGGTGTATCAGCACTCAAATGATGATGACGTGATGCCCGTGAGTCGATGAGCATGCCAATTTTGCGCAAGAAAAAGCCCATAACTCGCTTCGGAATGGTGCGTGGCAGCTAGGAACAGCATATTTAGAATCAGCTTTTGAAGCTGATTCAGACTATGTATGTCCCTTTTCAAAAGGCCGAGCTAAGTTAGGTAGCTTCCCTTTGCCGAAAGTTCATACCGTAATCCTACAGTAGCAAAGGGAGATTGGAGTTTCGCTTGATACTGTAAATCTAAGTTTATCCTCGCTCTACCGAATGATGCCTCAAGCTCGGCAAAAGACACGAGAGCAACAGAGTTATTAACGAGCAAACAGTGTGCACATCTTTTTGGGAGACCCCGTATAGCTTGCTAAAATTGGGTTCGAAACAGCGAAGAAAAGGGTACCAGAGCCAAATGCCCCAGGCCCCGCGTCTGGGGTAGCGAGGTAACGCGCAGCGCGCAGAGACGCGGACGAGCAGCGGAGACAGACCAGAGCCGACGGGGTTTTGGCTCTGGTCGTAGATCTCCGCGGGTTCTCAACAAAACTCCACAACATTATAATTCTGATCGCCATGACACGACGAGGAGAACTGACAACGTCCCAAGCTTTGAAAATCCCTCATTGACGAGATAGACCAGCGTTTTAGTGCGCGACTCTCTGCGCAAGATTTAAGCGCAGTTTCTCGCTCTTATTCAACTCTAGTAGCTTTCCTAAACTTCGAAACTCGATTTTTTTCAAATGGGAGGTTAACTAAGAAATTTCGTTTTGAATTCTGGCGAAAATCCCACAGAAACCTTTTTCTTAAAATAAAAAAAGCTATGAAAACACAAGTTCTCGATTTCGCTGAGATAAGCTAAAGATATTATTCCCTATATTTGCTTCATTAACATTCATTCCGATATAATCAGGATAATAACATCCGGGGCGAAGCCCCGGAGGACATTTGTTCTTTCCAGGTGAAGGTTGTGTCCCCTCATAGCCCTCAAAGTGAAGGTTACCAGAGTACGTGGCTCTATGTATCGAGGGTATGTATAGGACTGTCCGTCGCTGAGACGCAAAGTCGCTGCGCTATCCTAAAACTCTGTGGCGGCATACGTACTCTGCCGTAGTCCAGGAATTTGAACAAGTGAAGAGCCCCTCCCAAATCGTTAGTTTGCCAGCTTTCTGACCATAATTCTTGGTTGTGTTCAAAAATTATGGCCTCGCACTTCCGCGATGGCATGTCTGAGAGGCCCCACTTTTGCATGGCAGTGAAATCAAAACTTCCGCCTTGTCCGACACTGCCTTTAACATGTTCGAACATGACTTTTTCAGTAGTTGGCCCAATACCTGGTAACCTGAGGTCGTTAAAACTTGTTCCATAGAGATTATTTGACATGCTAATAATGAGAATGACACTCATTATGCTTGGTAGGTCTTCTTCATTATACAGGGTGTCCCAAAAAAATGTATCGAACGTTTGATCGTTAATATCTCTCTTCTAAAGAAGTCTTTTCTCTTGCTTCAGGTACCAGTCTGTAGAGCTGGCTTCTACTTGGATTTGCATTATAGAGCGGATCACTCATTTCTCTTCGTTACTGTAGGATTACGGTAGAAACTTCAAAGAGGGTTTTAAGCAACGAAAGGCCATATTTGCCTCAGAAAGGAAACAAAACAGCCTGAAAGCTTTTACACTAGGCTAATTGGAGTTGCTGATTATAATTGTAAAGTTCCCAACTTATTATGATGTTTCATTGAAGAGTTATGTCACGTAAGAGGTAGCGGCCATTTTTTCAATGTTTCTAAAACGTGCGGTTACACCGTTTAGAAAGCTTCGCAATCTTGAGAATAGTTGAGTATTGAACTCAGCGTCCATAAAAACCCCAATACACAAGTTTTCACAAATTTTTGAAAAATTTTGAAACGGCAGCTTTTTCCACATTGACACCATATGTTTCAAGTTTCTACCGTAATCCTACAGTAATGAAGAGAGATGGGTAATTCGTCCCATAATGCAAATCTAAGTTGAAGCCAGCTCTACAAAACGGTACTTGAAGCAAGGCAAAAGACTTCTTGGGAAGAGAGATATTAACGATCAAAAGTTCGATATATTTTTTGGGACACCCTGTACTTACCCTACGTATGCAATGACAGGCCCATATCTTATGCCTGGGTTTTGCATGATGGGCTTTTCTGGGGTTGTTAACGAATACTCGTTATCATATCGCTAGCATCAGTAGTACTCATATCGCGGCCCCCTCCTTTTTTGACCCTTCAAGACCCCAGGCGTCCACATCCCACGTCCACATCTGACCTTGGATATCACTCAAATATCAGGTGTTCTCTAGAAAATTGCCGAATTAGGTATCGATCTTGCAGCATTCCAGTACTGCGTGACCGGTACGCATTTCGCCATTCGAAACATAATTTGTGCGCGCCGTGACATTCGTAAGTTTTGTTCACAAAAGATGTGAATTGATGCGACTGTTCTTCGATGTTTTATTGATGTTTCTCAAGTTGTACGAGTACGTGAAAATATGGCTATAGAGTAAGGCTACTAGATTGCAATCGTGCTACGCTTTGCTTTTATGAAAAACTGAGTGAAGGTTGCTATATTATGGATGCCACACCCTTGCCAATCTTTTCGGAAACAGTCCTGACAAACAGAATTTATTCTTGTGATCCTTGCTGCCTAACTCATCAACCAGAATCGTACTGTAAAGTAGCATTGGCACATGACATGTTCATCAGAAATGTTTAGTCATAACAGTTGCGCCATTATGTTGAAAAAGCCAAAACTCAAAAAGATAGAATTAGAGACGTATCAAAAAATTACTGTGTACAACTTTATTGCAATCAAAAGCAAAAATGATATTTTAAGCACAACACTGAGCTGCACCTATCGAGACCATCAAGTCTGTCCGGAAGGAAAGTTTGAATTTCAGTTTTACTTTGCTAGAAAGTTTTGTAGGATTTTTAGTAGTATGATTTGTGTGAAAAGTAAATTCTTTTGACTTGATGGCTTCAGAAATCATTCCAAGTATTGTGGACTTTTTCTAACATACTTAACTGCTTGACTTCTGTAATGCTCGGACATATACAAAGATTTCCAAGAATCCCTTTTGCCTCAATTGCTTTACATGCAGTAATGAGAAGAAAGATCTTACTATAATATTCCCTGAATTCTCATGCGTATGGCAGCCTAAGCAAAATTTTCAGAGTCCAAAGTTTTGTCACTGACTATCAGAATATCTAAAAAGACACTTGTTATGAAAGCAACACATTATAAACTAGTCTAAAGAGCAAAAAAATTTTCAGAAGAATCTTCTTCTCAACTAGGCGATGTTGAAACTCATGTGGTCAGCCAGATGGTAATTGTTGCAATTACCATAGCAATAAAAGGGAAGACAAATTAGTGGTCAAAGAATGTTGTGTCATTTCTCAAAAAGTTTTTTCTTTCATACTTCTTGTCACTGCCCATTGACTTCTCGAATAGTTCCCTGTACTTTATTCCTGACACAAAAAAATGCAATGCATGCAATTGTCAAGTAACAGAGGTCCCTACATAACTGTACATGATAACAAATTGCATAGCCTTGTAAAGCCAGCAAGGTAAACTAAGTATAGACAATCTATGTTCATGAGATCAGCAACTTTAAGCCCGCGTTTGGGTTTGGGATGTAGCACCCGGCAAACAGGTATCGTACTGATATGAGGTCCCATATCCAGTGCAATCGCATTTGAAGACATTTTTGCCATCTGCACTGGTGTACGAATACGTCGCAACTGCAAAGCCAGGGTAGGTCAGAATAGAAAGACAAAAAAACTTAAAATGAAGTAACTCACTGCAAGGTCCAACCTGCACACTCTGTGCCTGCTGACTGTTGTCAACTGTGTACTGTACAGTTTGCGCAGCCTGTGGTGCAGTCTGCTGGACTTGTGCAGCCTGCTGGACTAGTGCAGTCTGCGTCTGCGTACTTTGCATGCTCTGCGAATTCTGCGATTCCTGTAGCTTTTGCAGTGCTAATAATTGTGCGTATTGCTCAAGTGTGGCAGGATCCATCTGCTCAGTGTTTAGGTATCCATTGTATCCGTAAGTGTTCGTTCCAGTGGCCGCTCCTACTACATTCGTAACTCCATCGAATACCGTACCTTTAATTAACTTTGGTTAGGCCAAGAGGATTCTAATTTCGAGTTACTAACTTATTATACCGGCCGTGTCATCATACACATAACCACTACCACTGTAGAAACCTGAATAAATTTTTTTTGAAACATCAAACTCTTTGCATTTTATACTAAAAATAAAACTAGATCTAACCTGAGCCACCGCTGTCGCGACCGCTGCTGAATTGAGTTCCTGCTACAGCTCCAGCTACGCTTCCTCCTCCCGCTCCTCCTCCTCCACCTGCTCCTCCTCCTCCACCAAATCCTCCTCCATTTCCTCCAGTTCCTGATCCTCCTCCAATTCCTCCAGTACCTGATCCTCCTCCGATTCCTCCACCACCTGACCCACCTCCTGGTATGAATCCTGCACCTCCTCCTGGTCTAAGTATTCCTCCTCCAATTCCTCCACCACCGAATCCACCTCCTGGTATTACTCCTGGTCTAAATCCTGGCAGTATTCCTGATCCTCCTCCTGGTCTTATTGTTATTGTTCCTCCGCTTCCACCAGTACCGGATCCACCTCCTGGCAATACACCTGATCCTCCACCAGGTCTAATTATTACAGTCCCTCCATTTCCTCCAGTACCGGTTCCACGTCCTGGTAATCCTCCTTGTCCACCACCTGGTATTCCGCCTCCTCCTCCTGGCCTAACTATTATGCTTCCTCCATTACCGCCTCCTCCTGGTATTACTGGTCTTACTCCTGGTGTTACCGGTCTTACTGGTGTTGTTGGTCTTACTCCTGGTGTTACTACTGTGTGTCCTGGCACGACGGGTCTGGGTACTGATCCCGGCGTTACTATTTTGGGTGGTATAATTGGCCTTGGTACTGGGCGTCCTCCAACGGGTCCTCTCATCGATGGGAGCGGCACATTCGCAGGACTTCTGGAAAAAAATTGCCTCTTTTACGATTTTTACTTGGAACACTCGTCAAGCAAGAGCAAGACGAAGACAAAAAAACTTGTTTTCTGTTTGAGAATTCAAAGAACAACTATTGAACTCGTATTACAAAAAAAGCACAAATGACGGAAAACGCGCGAGAGAAAATCTTTCAAAGTACGGTATTTTTTTACAATTTCGCACAGCAGATTATAGCAACCGGTTAGGTTTGGGTACCATTGCTCACGTCACAGAAAATACTCGTGTCAAGGCAAAATTTTGATTGACCAAGAATTTGTTCCAAATATGGTCATCGCACACTCAATCATCTGCTTTCCAAACTATTCTGAGGAAAGTGATGAATCCAAAATAGAAGGACTCAGCAATGCAATTTGTTTCGTCAATTACAATGGAGATAGTGATCAACGGAAAGAATTTAATAAATATGTGGAATAGGCCTCGAATGTTGTCAAATTATCTAATACAAAATGATAATGTGTTTATGACAGTAGTGGCTTTCCGAAACATAAATCTACTCCTTTTACTGTATCAGTTTAGCTCAAGACGATCGCGCTCACTACAAAAAAGCAGAGGTTTGGAAGTCTGCGGTCTTCTAGTCTAAATCACCTAATACATCTGAAATGAATTTCGGAAAAGAATATATTTAAAGTCTGACTTTGGGAACATCCTAGTCTTTTTTGTCCTTAATGGGCTTTAGCTAAAACATGGAATTGCTTTGATATTAACACTATGGAAAGTGTCTTCACTCTTCATTACTGCAGGATTACGCTAAAGATCTCAAAAGAGTTTTACGTCAATGAAGAAAAGGCCATAAGACCTCAGGAGAGTTGAAAATTTCATTGCGAAGACAATGGATGTCACTATTTTTGTATATGAGATATGCATTCAACAGCAAATCTCGTTTGAATGTACATGTGAACAACCAGAAGCATTAGTTGTTTTCCCTTAAAAAATACCTGGCATGAGAATTGCTTGCCCAATTCGAATGAAATAAACATTCTTTTGAGGCAATTAAGTAATGCGTAAATAGAAAAAAGTTTCGCGCTTTACGATGTTGATTTGAGCGCAACTTTTTGATTGGCTAAGCCTTCAAGAAGACTAACTTTCATGCCAACCTGAAGTCATACCAATAATTTGACTTACGCCGTGCAAAGTTTGCTTTTGAGACCAATACATTCAGGTCATCTAGAAATTTGTAAAAGCAACAAGTCATTGATAACTGCCTTTTCGCTTATTCCTACAGCGATAAGTCGTACACTTCATATTCTTAAAAGGGCAGCACATATGTACCATTCCCATGTTTTTCCCTTATCTAGAAATCAAGAAAACTAAAACTTTCATGTTTGTACAAAATTGGAAATACGCTGTGTCCACTCACATAATTGTATAGTATGAGCCGTTAGAAGTACAACCGTAATTTTATCTTCACAGGCCTTAGTTCTCGAAAAATACCTAATTCAGCTCTTCTCACTCGGGTGTTTCTGCTAAAATCGATACTTCTTAAAAACTAGGGCTTGTAGAAAGCTGAATTACGGTTATCTTCTAAGGGCTTGTAGCACAGCTTCGTTTTCATATGATAAAAATCTTTGTTTTTTCATTTATAAATGAGGAAAAGATACAGGAACAGTGCATATGAGTGTCTGATGTGGTGTGCATTTCGTGTGCGCGAGTTTGAGATCAGTAGAATTTTTTGGACGAAGCTATGAATTCCTCTCTACTTTTTGAGCCTTCAGTACAACTCAGTTTCTGGATGCAAACTTGCGGTGTGGGTCGAAGTTGGTGCGAACATTTGCATACCATCTCGTAGAGCTTGTGCTCTATCAAATGGTACCCTGGAGCCCTATTAAGAATATGACGACTCATCGCCATAAGAAGTTAAGGTGTAACAAGACTTATGCTACAACCTAATATTTCCTAATATAATCTCATACTCATGAATACGATCGGTATCGAAGCCAACCACTAGGTTGGCTAAAATCGAGCTAATTATGGAAATGATGAGAGATGGAGAGTTGATGGAGAGCTTTTCGAGGATTCAACAGACGATACTATTAAGATCTTAACGGATGATACTATCTTAAAAATGTATACTGTCTACTACATAGTCGGATCAAAAAGAAAATCAAGAGATTTTGGCATAATATTGGCATTTTTGGCAATACATAAGTAAATTAGAGTAAATTACAGAGCTTACCTCATTGGTATGCTGGGAGGTCGAGGAGCAATCGCTGGAACGCGTCCAGGGCGCAATAATGGTAAGGGCATTTTGGGCATCGGTGGTTTCATAGGTGGTAACCCCATCGGTGGTCCTCCAGGCCCACTTACAGGTCCTAAACTCACAAGTGGTCGTGGTTTAATAATGCCTCCTAGAGAATTTGCCATATTAATTCTTGGTCTTGTTCCAAGCATGCCTTTCATAGGGCCAAAAGGTAGTGGTCCTCTTGATAATATGGATCGAGGAACGTGCATAAGTGGCCCTCCTCTGGGTCCTCTTCTAGCTTCACATTGTAGTAATATTTCTGGAAGAAAGACACGAAAACATGTGGCTATGTGTGAGTCCCATCATTATGAAATTACTTACGCAAGAAAAGTAACGATAGGACAGAGCTCGGTCGGAACAAACTCATCACAGACCGAGCACGGTGAGATGTGCGCTGCAAACTACTTGTAATGCCAGTGACTGCTGTAAAGTGATGTGGAAATGTACCTAAAAAGTCGGTAACATAGTTCGGCCAAGAGTCGGACTTCTGAGCACGTACAGTAATTAAATTCCGTGGTTTCTACGAGCCAATGCGTCATAAATAAAAACTCTCTTTAGGTGAGTAGCTCTCTTGCTCAATGCATGGCAATACCGCAGAATCTCGTTGAAAATAATTGACGTTTTCGTAATTTTCGTAATAAATGACGTTTTAAGGTCAATTTCCTTCTGAATCATAAACACAACAAAATCTTAACTATGCTGAATAAGTCGCAATTATCTCGTTTTCCCAAAAACCATCTTCGCTTTTGGAGTTTTCAATCAACTACACCGTAACTGCACAAAATACTGATTACTGTATAGCCTTTCAAAACGGATAGCAATGATAAAGTCACCATTTGGAGAATACAATCCCAAAAAATGACCCTATTCCTCATAGGCTCAGCACACCTTTAATAGTAGGATTCATTTCTTCCCCATTGTTCAAACACCAGAATCAAAGTGCTAAATTATTGCGCAAACAGGTTTAGGGTAGCGTGCGTTACCAAGGGCGTTTAGACATTAATACCTTTTTTTATTCAGTGTTGCTAATAAACGACTTGTCGGTTACATGGTGGGCAGTTGTCAATATCATTCTGTGTGTTAAAGAGCATCTGTAAAGACTTTTAGAACGTAAATCAATTTCTTCGAATAGTGTCGAAGAGCGAGTCTGGCAGTTCCTAATCAGTATAGATATCCTATATGAAGATGTGCTCCTAATCAAAAAATAATCTGCGAAATTTAAAAAGCGTGCTTCGGGCAGTGCCTATAGAAGTAAGTATAATATGTATCCGACATTGAACACAATTTTTTAAATTAAATAATTTATCTCTAAATGGTTGACTGAAAGCGCGAGATTATCAGCCCAGCATAGCTTTTTCAGGCTGAAACTCACACTTCGTTGACCATGTAAGAAATAAAAAATCATTATTTTTACAAGCTCAAATTGTCGTTGCTTATTAGGCTTTAATTCTAAGATGTGTACAATCGACAATGCTCAGATCTAAGCATAAATTGTGTGATTCTATTGGAAGATATCCATTTTGGATTACTAACAACACTATTGCAATGTGCACGACAGCTGAGACGGAAAATTCCGCGAACTCGTTGAATTGCAAGAAAAGTTATGACGTAAATCACCAAAAACGATGAAACGATTGACCCATGTTGATGTATCGAGATGGCGGATAATTTCTCTCAAAGTGATCTTTTTTCGTGAAAAATTTCAGCTCTTTTTGTAATACCTCTCGTTTAAAGTTTCCTAAGTAAGTGGACCTACTCATCGGCATAATTATACTTCGATGGCCATGCGCGAATAAATTTCTATTCCTGTTTAAATTCTTCTTTTTCCGCAAACTTGCTCGGCATATTCCTCGAAAATGTTTCTTCGTCATGAAACTGTCTTTTTGTAAATTTTTAGATTCATGAGTATCATGTGGTACCGGCTGTAGAACGCATGAAAAAAAACTCCATCACCAGTTTTCTGAAACAACACAGTATAATGGTTAAAAGTGATTAGTTGTCCACTTGAAACAAAAAAAAACAAACAAACAATTAAACTGGAATAAAAATCATAACAATCTATTAGGTTGGTGCAAAAGTTGCGCGTTTTGCGAATTCTCAATTTGACCTGCTATAACTTTCTTAAGAACCCATATTTTTTGATGTGATCAAGACCATCAGAGGCAGCAGGAATTTCGCAATACAGGGCACATCCTCCTGAAGTCATATTTACCATAAACGGCCGGAAAATTATCGACAGGATAGGCAAAAAAAATTCTTTTCTAGAACCTCCTGTTCAACTTGTCATAACTGCCTATAAAGTTTGTTAGTATAAATGTTAAGTAGCCTATCTTGTAGCCGCAAGCCAGTAGTACAAAAGAGGATGAAAATGGCTCAAATGAACGGGATTTGCGAAAAGAAAAAAATCGAAATCCAAAATTGTCAGCTTTTTTGAACATTTTTTCGTAGGCCTCAAAGTTTCAAAACATGAAGTTTTTTGATTTTTTGCGTACTGAAGAGCTAAACAATTTTTGCAAAAACTGCCAAAGGAGACCTAACCTTACGCTTACAGAAATGAGCAAAGCTTTGGCGATTGCCTTCTTCAAATGAAATTTATGGGTTTCAGAATGACCAAAACGTCGACACATGTTGAGGCGCTGATATCTCAATTTAGGCAATTTCTAAGAGAATAATAAAGTGTGCATAATGTAGACAATTGATGCTACATACAGTAGTTGAATTTTCAGAAGTATGCCATCATTCACGCTTGATTTCTCGCCAGAAAAGAAGATGCAATAATATTTTGATTTCGAGTGCGGCTGTGTGAAGCCCTGCAAATTCTTAACGAATGAGGCTAGAAGCCTGTTTCAGCTACCATTGGATAGAGCACGAAGAGAGCTTCCTGATGGTATGCTACTTTCTAGATAAGGGAATTTGATGGAAAAAAGTTGTCTTGAATCCGGGGCTAAAAAAACGCGCATTACTTTTGTATCAACCTAATATAATGATGATCTCAGTCCGTCACTTAAGATTTTCTTCACAAATTAATTATGATTTTTCCTCACCCATTCGTCTTCACTGTAAAATCTTGACCTTGCAGCTGAAGCTCTGGACTGCTGCGGATCAACAGCATGCTAAGCTTTATCGTCTGCTAGAATATCCTCTTCCGTCACTTAGAATACGCACTCATTGAAACCATGTTTAATGGGAACTTTCTAGGGACAATGATAATGAGGCATAAATGTTTATGTTGGATCACATCAAACTAAAAATACTTTGTCGTTTCCAACAATCAAATAAATTCCTGAATTAATTGAGCTTAGCTGTTTCTGTGCTGAATCAGAGCGACGCTTCGCGTTTATCGCTGGTATGATCGGTCTTTGATGATGATTGAAACTACATACAGATCGCGAAGCTAAAAGTCAAGGAATCAACGAACAGTGTTCTGTAAGATGATGGTCGTTTTGTAGTTGACATATTTCTCATCTACTACATTTTGACATCCAGAGTATCCGAGAAGCATCTGGACCTGAACCGCTTTAGAGTTGAACGAGGAGTCTTGATTAACACATTAATGACAACACGACCCACTGTTGGGTCGTAGTTCCAAGCTTTGCAAATTTATGGTGGAACTACGTAAGATTCCGGCACATATTTCGAGACATCTAGCTATAGCTCGAATAACAGGCTACATTTCGGACCATACGATCATACCATACCTTACCACATCATCGGTGATTGAAATAAAAGCACGAGAGGCACAGATGGGTCGTAAGTCCTAAACGGCGGAAATCGATAAATTGACCTTATCATAAATGTGTTAAGCCATTGCCCAAGTATCAGCTCACATAATTCTTTTGTTGAAGAAAAAATTAATTACGAACTCTCGCCCAAACCGTATCTCTCCGGGCGGTCCTCGAGCACGGTATCGGGCAGAAGTTGGAATTGAGTTCTCGATCACGAATAAATTGTATGATCTGCCCCATGCGCAATTCTCCTTATCAGCATCGGTATAAAAAGCCCGGGTGCCAGATTCATAGAAGTGCCCTTGAAAAGGTGCATATAACCAAGACGCTACCCATATATAAGCTAGAAGAGGAGTTTCTCAACCCTGAAAACGAAAGAAATTCAATCGTATCGTGATCGAATGTTGGTGGAATATTTTGAAACATCAGGCGGCATTTGCGGCGAATGCCAATCACAACATTGGAGGCAAGAGACTTTCTCTCTGATGCAAAAGGGCTCATTCCTTTAGCATCATTCACATCAGACGGTCATCGTCAAAGCACCTTTATCTGCTGACTCTGCTGTGCTCTGTAATTCGCTCTCTATTTCTTCGACAACGGTGACGTCAAAGGTGAAATTCCCTCTTCGTCTCCTGTTTTTCGACGGCTCTGACGTGTCCATTATCTGGGATTGGTCAAATAGCCACACACTGGTAGATGTGGATTTGGCAATCCCAGCAAATGTGCATTTTCTTTATTAGATGGTCCGACTTAGTGAGTTCCGCTTTTCGCCTCGTTCTACTTCTTAGTCTCGCTTCTATTAGTTGCCTCGAAAGTTCTCGGACATTGTTTTTGTTTCGATGTAAGCACTGATGTAAGCATGTTGCGCACCGTTGGATAGAGGAAAGCAATCTTTACAAAATTATGGTATGCACAAGCATTACAAATGTCCTCTATGAAAAATCAGGCGAAAATTCCAAAGCATAGAATTTCGACGTAACCCAGATCTCCCTATGAACGTTATAAAACCCTCACATGCTCCAATTTATAGTATACATATACTTACATACATAGTTTGTTAGGAGATTTGCGCTTAAACAACAAGAAAAATAAATTGAAAAGTGACAAACTCTGCCCTCACTGATCCTAGGCTCGTCCCACTTGCTTAATTAACAGCTACAGGCAAGGGAGAGTACAGCTGCAAATTCGAGGATGTACATTTTTTTCGAACGAACTGTAATTTCTCTTAGTCTGAAAATTATCTTTTTTTGTCGAAAACGCCAGTGAAAATTACATAAGCTTCTAGAATTCACGACAAATGTGGGGATTGCTGGAGTAAGGCTCTACCTAGGAGAACTGACAAATAAACCATTTTTCGCCAATATTTCCATGTGAAAATTATAGGTTTAGCGATGGTTATAGTTTTGGCTATGAAAAAGTTCCAATAAGCACTAGATTCGAAAACAGATCTTGTGATGCCTTTGCAAATTGTATAAACTTGTATAAGCCTGTATAAAATATATTCTGAGATGAATAACTTAACAGGTAGGGTCCAAGATTATAATCCGCACTTTGCAGACTGCTTGTTCGCAGTAGCTGATTATTTTTTCCTCAATTCAGAGGAGCTAAAATATTACGCGCCCAGGCAGTGGAACGAGTTTCAGATCAGAGTTGTAATTCAGACAACCTAACGTTGTTGTTTGCTTGCGATATGAACCTCTGCACGCTTCTGGCGTCATTTAATTGGGTAGTAATAAGAAATTTCAAACTGCTTGGAATGGAATTGATTGATTGTTTTGTTGAGTACTCCGATTTCAATTTAAACTGCAATTAATACATAAAGCTAAAATGGCGAAAAACTAGCAAAAATAAACTAAGGGTTATAGAGTTAAGTAGACATTGATGTTCCCGATAACTACAGATTGAAACCAGTCGATTGCGTAAGAAATCTCTCCTGAGGTGCTAATAATCTTCACGTGATTCTCTAGTGAGAGACGAAACCAATTATGATTTGTTGCATATCGTAGAGGTGATAGCCCTTCAATTTGTAATGGATTGGGGAAACCTGAACTATAAAGGTTAGCAAAAAGTTATTGATTTAGAGAAGGAAAGAAATTCAATTGGAATTTCCTAAAAAATTTTCTCTCAAAAAAGCCGAAGAATCCGCAAGAATTCCACAGACCTCAGTAAAGAAGAAAATTGATCTGATTTTGTGAGCACTAAGAGATTTGGACTAAACTTTGGACTAAACTGTTCTAAACGAATTGCTCAAAAGAGAATCACTAGGAAAATATCGCATTCAGAATAAGTTTCAGTAACTAAGCTCATGTAGTGAAACATTCGAGAAACACTGTGGTAACTGTACGATCGGAATGAAAAATGATTTACATCTAGTAGGGTCAATGTCCGTTCTATAAAAAAAACTTAAGAGAACACCATCTGATGAAGTTGCCTCGTCAAAATTCCTGTCCTTTGCCTTCAATATCGTCTAGTAACATCTAGTGGATAGAAGTGACTGTTTCTTTCGAGTTATTGCCGTCATTTTCAGTCGCGACTTCATGATTGTACGGTTGATAATGAGACTAACTGCTAGTACGTTCAAAATCTTTAAGAGCCTCCTCTATCAATCAATTTCAAGATGATTTTGTTATGTCACGATCGTCTGCCATCATTCTAATAGCACTCGGCCAACAAATATCTATTTAGCAAAAGAAGCTCTTGATCTCGATCTTGGTAATGATCAAGGTTAAAGAACCAACCAATAGATGTCATAATTTCAACGGAGGCTCAAAACTACCGCAATCCGAGGATTTTTAGTGAACGCAACCGCATGGAGTTCACACCCAATTTGGTAACCAGAAGAATACACTCTCAGTTTCCTGACATTTGTTGGTTTTTCAAATTCCTAAACCTGTTGAACATACGGTTGAATTGACGTCTGGCTCAAAGAATAAGAATGCCAGTTTACATAAGTAGACTGTTATGTAGGTAAATTGCGAAGAATGTCGAAATATTAGGTTGTAACAGAATTAATGCAGGTTTTTTGCGCAACTTTTTCAAAATGCTGGTTCAGAAAGGAAAAGTGATTTTCCAGAGAGTTTTGCATATCATTTGGAAGATCTTTTCTTCTAATTTCTTATGCATTTTTTCATTTCAGTGGAAGTGAATTTGTCTAGAAGTTCTGAGGCCATGAATTCAAGAAACCAAATCTCGAATTTCTTTCTTTCAATATATCTGGCTCTAAAACCACCAAAAACAACCAAAATTCGCTGCAAATTTACATAGTATTTTTGAGTGAGCTATGTTACAAAATGCATGTTGAATCATGATTTCTGAAAACATCTGAGCCGAGAAATTGAGCAAATTTAGAGGTCGCTGTGGTCCGTCTGGCGCGAAGCGACTGCGGAGCTTCCGCTTCATATAGGAAGAATAGATCTTACACATTTATTTCTGAAAAAATCGGGAGCCGTTCTCCTTATTCAGCTTTGAAAAATTCAAAAGTTTCAGAAAAGCGATTTTTTCAAATTCTCAGGAAAGTCGAAAAATTGAGTAGTGAGTCATATTTGCGCTACCTTACTGCATTTGATAGTAAGTTATGGTTTCTCAAAGTGAAGGTTTTCCGAAAAAATTTTTGGCCGAATTCGGGCTACAAGATTTTTCTCAGTGAAGCTACAACAACTCAATAATGCGTACTGAGTTAAGAAAGGTTTGCTGATTACAACAATTCTTGTTGGACACGAAAAGACTATTTGTGTAGAAAGTTATAATGATTCAAACACAAAATTCAAAAAACCCGCATCAATTCTGTTACAACCTAATAGCTGCGGGAGACGCGTGATTCAACAAAATAGGTTTGTGTCCTTGGAGAGATGTTGCATAGGATTCAGCAAACTTGTATCATAGACTTTCATGGATTGATCATCAGTTTCCAAAAACCCACATTTCGATTCGGTCTGCTGTCTTGTCATCTACATTTGCAGGTAGAAATTTTATTGTGTAACCAAAGTTTCATAAAATAATCACTCACTATGTAGGCGGAGAGCAGCTGTATTTTGATCTTGATCAAAAAAGATTCACTAATCCTTTGGAAGGTACTAGTTCGATACATTTCTGAATGTACCGAATCCAGCGCTCTCTAGATGGAGTGCGTACAGCAGGAGTTTTTGAATGAGGGCCCAGTGTGAAGCAAACTGTACTACAGATTTAGCAAATATGAACTAGATCATTAAAAACCTTAACAGCGCCCAAGCCTCCCTTGAAATTCTGTATTCATTAGTAGGCCACACACTGTAGCAGACTTCAATCCCATACGAATATACAAAAGCCAAAAAAATTGGTGAAAACCATTCTTACACAATCCTGCATTTTTTCACAAAATCACAGTACAACACCCAATACAACTACGCATTTAAATGACCGCTACATCAGTTGTGGCTCGACCGGGGTTTTTTAGGAAGAAACACAAAGAAGAGATTCTTTATTGTAAGAAGTTTTCCGATCATTTTTGAGAATTTGCTATTGTGTTTGTAATGCAGCTTTTATTTGGAATTTTGCGATCCAAGTCAGTAATGTTAACTTTTTCTTTGGAGTTTGTTTTCGAAGCCCGACGTTCGAGATTAAAACGCTACGACTGAGCCATAACTCGGGTGGAAAGAACGGGGTCTGGCGTATTATGCGCGGCGAATCGTCGGAAGGTCTGTAATTTTGAAACTTAACTTTGTTCGAAACCGTTTTCAAAACTTTTTCTGCTCATTTTCAGAAAACTACTGGCACAAGCAATCAGAAAAACATAAAATGTTTCAAAATCGCAAGTCCTCAAAAATCAACGCTATCGCGGTGGAGTTTCCAAGGACACTGTCGCATGGTTGTAAATCAGTTTAAAACAGAAATTTCGGATTTCTGTCTGTAATTTTGAAATGTCGACACCATAATGGTTGAAAAGACATGACAATTTCTGAAGCGCACAGCGCAATTTTTTTCATCTATCTATGAAGATAAAATTTACAGATCGAGAAGACATTGCGAAATTCCATCGCAGAAGGCTTTGACTGTCGTCGAAGAGTAAACATTTTTATCGACTGCGACCATTACTTTTTCGTCGTTAATGATCCAGGCGCACTTCCGATGTGGTTAACTTCTTGGAGAAGTTAATGCGTCTCTTAGAAATTTGCGGTATAAAAGAAAATTATGAATGGACTGCCATGCACTTCATCGGATTTATGCGTTCGCAATTCTGTTTATGCACATTCAAAGAAACTTTTTCGTTCTGTTAATAATATGTAGGTTTCATGGAAGTTATCAGTCCTAAACCCACTTGCATTTGATACTTTATGATGGCGGTTTGTACAGTCTAAACAGAAAAAAAACTGTTTTGACACAACAGGTAGTACATGGTAGACATAAAATTCCAATAGATAGAACTTGTTAAGGCATTGAGCCTCTGTACGTCAGCTATAAAGGTCCAAAATACTTATTTCAAGACATTTTCGACCACAGCTGCAATGGTGAACGTTTCCGATTTGTCCTGATGGTCATCCCAAAGCAAACTGATGAGATCGAGAATACTTGGGTTGTGGTGACGAGAAGAGGTTGATAAATAAGGAAAAACTGCAATTTTCTACGAGTATTGATGTAAAGTATTTTGGAAGAGCCATATGAAATCAATCCTTCCATCTTTTTCTGAGAAAAAAATCAGAGAAAAACTACTTGTACAGTTCAGCTTAAATAATTTGGATGAGCCACAACCTATGCAAAATTTCTTCCACAATCTCTTCTTCAAGAAATATAATTTATATTGAAGTTTTTATGGTCTCGCTTGTTTGACCTACGCATAAAGATTTTTGTTACTATATTCGTTCCTGCATTGTTGAACATTTCCAAATTCCTTACAGATATTACGTAGATACAAATTTCTGAAATACCTATTAGCTTATTTTTATGAATTTGTCTCAAATCACAACAATAACTTTCCTTCCAGCTAGGAATCTGCAGTAAACTGGGCTATTCGGCGATAATCAACAATAGCAACGGCAAGACAAGTAGCTCGTATTCGTACTTGACTTCGTGTGAAAACTGACTTGAAAAGGAGAAAAGGTCTGCTTAAAGAAATTTTTCAAGTATTTATAGCCAGTAAATAAAGCAAGCGTAATTTACAGAAAAAGATGTATACAAATGTACAAAATTATTGTTTCTCGTATGGTGGAGCTGTTGCATTCATTTTTCCGGCAAGCTGTAGATCTCCAGTCGGTACGGGAGGATTCTGACCGATACCGGGATACGGTGGAGGAGCTTCGTACATGTAGACATTTCCTGCTAAAACGACAAAACGGGTTTAGAATTGATCATAGGATATTCGTTAGGAAAAAGAAACTAACCTTGTGGCTTTTCAGGAAATACATTCGTTGGAGCCTGGAAACCATTGAAATCTCCTCCCGCTGGCGTGTAGTAATTCGGTGGCGCAGAATAGTAAGGGGCAGGGAAGTTCATTGGAGTGTACGGTGGAGGAGAGAACAGTGGCGCACTGCGTGCAGCTAAAGTGGGCTAATAGCTTCAAAAATTGAAAAAAAAAGAGGCCCAACTTACCAATATCTGTAGCATGAAGCAGGCTTTGACCGAACTCAACTGCACCTCCTTTTGGGAATGATAACTTCCACTCGACTTCGCCCTGGAATTGCCCATCGGGCAGGGCCTGCGCTCCTCCCTAGACTTACCTTTTCACTATTCCTCAAAAGAAAATTTGAAATCTGTCACCTTAAGGAAGTTCGGGGTGAGTATAGGCTGCTCCAGTTCCACATTTCTCAATGTTTGAAAAGGCATGGCGAAAGATTTCAAAGGATCCGAGTGTGATTCGTTCAGAAAGATTATCTGAATCACTTCGATGATTGTGCAAAATACTTTCCAGGTTATTAACGACAGTACCCGATGTGATGTCAGATAAAGTGAACCCTTCTTGGTTCCTTTGAGAACAGGGTGATGGGTATGTGAAAAAGACATCTTTACATGCGTCGTGTACAGAAGTATCCTAAATAATTAGATTGATTATGATAATTTTCAGCAACTATTGAGTGGGTGCAAAAGTTCGTTCGCACTGTTTTTAGAAATCGTATCTGTATCTGCCTGGATTTGCCTGCGATATATTTTTTTAGAATGAATAGATCGTGTATTTCCTAACTATCGATTAATTACGTTCTACTAAGCACTCGTAGAGTTAAAAATGCAAAAAGAAGATTACTCAAATCGTAGTGATTATAAGAAAGCTCACAATCCAAAAAAGTTACAAAAATACCGGAACAAACATAAACACATGTTCTATGATCTCGCCTTTCTAGCTAGGCAATATTCTTGCTGAAAGAACGTTTTTATGAAATTTATGGTTTTTTTTAGCTTTATGCTCTGTGTTTTTCACGAAAATTAAGCTGCTCTGATCTCGATCGGCTCGAATTCCACTTAGTCAAAAAGAGTAGGTCACAAAGTTATGTTCAAGACTCTTTCGGCTTCCGCTGTGACCTTTCTAGATTTTTTGACCATGCTCAGTTACAGTTGCTTCTAACTTTCGAACTATCTCATACTAAACCATGGAAAAGGTGCCAGTGAATCAAAAATTTCTCTTTCAAACAGAAATACTTCAGAAGTCTTGTAATCCCGCTGCCAATCTTGAGTAACTTTCTTCGATTGCTTCTAACTCTCAAATATTCTCATACCAATTTTTGCCAGAAGCACTGCTATGAAGGGCATAAGTTTCCCTTTCAAATAAAAATAATTTCGAGAAAATCCATCCGGAAAGGAGGATGTAGTGATTTTTCAAAATAACTGGCGAACTAACTCCTGAACCTCCTAATACTTGTCAGAATTTCCAAAACCATTTTCATATTATGAGAAAAGGTAATGTTCCATTTTGTCAACATGGCATAGAATTCGCAAATTCGACCTTACAGAAATCGTATTCAACCGAACGCAACAAAAAATCAAACTGTAGCCGATAACTGGACGAACCATTTTTTTCAGAGATTTACAACTTTAACGAACTGTTTACAACCGAAGTTTGTACGATTTTACTACTAAAAAATAAAATAACTCGTTTCATCGGTATTGTTTTGAAGGTTATTAGAAAAATACATAGTAGTGTTATTCTAGAAAAGGGGGGAGGGGTGGCTCTGTTCAAAAAAACTACGTTATTTGTCATTTTGATCCTTTCTTCCTAAGCTAGGCAAAGTTAGTAAGAGAATTCGTAAAAAAGGCAAAACAACTTTTTTGATTTCAAATTCGATTTGTGCAAGCAAAATTTCATTTAATATTTTTTATATTCTTATAATATTCAAGATATTGTATAGATTTGGCCAAAGTTCTGAACACTATTTCTAAAATCATATTCGTCCAAATTCTTAGTTTAGAACGACGCAAAAAATCTCGTACGAGTTCCTGGTTTTTTGGATCGAAACAGCTGTTTGCAACGGCGATTTTGTTCGCGAACACGTGCATGTGGAGCGGATATGAGGGCGGCGAGTGTATTTCGACAAATTCATAAAACCAAAAACAAAACAAACCAGAACTTACATTTCACCATTATAAATAAGCACACCATTGCCATCTGGAGTATTGGAAGTGTTGAGTGACATCTTCGAATGATACTAAAGAAAAAAAATGGGATTAGAACGATTTTTACGGTTTTAGTGCGAAAGCAGCGAAAAATTGAAGGGGAGAACGGACTAGAACAACGATAAACAACGCCAGTGGGTCGATAACGTCGCAGACAGACGTATGACTCAAAGACCACAATAGTTCAACTTAACTTATTTGGGACATTGGTCATTCAAAATAAGAGAAATGGAGAATTTGGAAGGACTTTTATCCATAGATTTGTAGGAAAACGCAACTAATATAAAACGTTTTTTAATGAGATTATTAAAGCGCATTCACTGAGGAATAACGACCAGCTATGGCCAGCTGTATGCATAGGTATGACACACAACACACATACACTACTCATCCTCCTCTCGATGATTACGTAACCTTCGTCATCGCACTTCTTTGCCCTACCTTATCGGGATGAGCGGCAAATACGCTCGATCGGCAGCGCTGCATTCCGCCTGATTTTCAGGCAAGTGCGCCACATTTGAAATTCTTCGCGAAGGTGAAGCCTTTGCGGCGTATGCTGCTGACAGGACTCGGTACGGCTGGTCGGGTCAAGCTGGATATCGTTTTTGGGACAAAAAGGAAAGACTATAATGTTTTTGTGGCCGAAAAGATACAAAAAATGCGACGTTTTTTTTTGGTCGACGTTTCGTTTCTCTGAGCTTTTTACATTTAGGGTTTAGGGTCAAAGGGGACTTCGTACGAAATTTCCAAGATTAAGGGGCACTTCGTCTCGAAATTTCCTTGATGCCAGCTCGTGCCGAGGCCTGGTTGCTGTTCTTTTCGCTTGAAATGTTATTCAAGAATTACAAAGTTGTTAGATTACAACTTATGCAACTACTTGATTTCGTATGCTCGAAGCTTATGTTCTTTCAAGTTTGCCACCATATGAACATTTTTGACCAGCCAGGAAAAGGAGGAAATAGGAAAGAAAAGCGCGAAATATCTGCGCTATTGGTCCATCTTCGCCCCGCCTCAAAGCGCCTCGGGGCTGTATAAAGCAATATGCCCCACCCACAAGAGGTTCGGACTTGAGGCAGCTTCGCAGCTGCCTCTTCAACAAGATCGTCTCCGAATCTCCGTCCCCCCCTCATTTTAATCACCCGCCCTCCATATTTATTTAATCTCCAATCATATGTTTCCCAAATTATTCTCCTTGTATAATTGCTTCGTATTTGTATTCGCTCTCATTGTACTGCCATGTTTATGTAAGGTTAAGCCGGAGCCTTAGCTCCTGCTTGGCTATCCTTCTGACTTAAACTTATCTATCCACCCTCTATCTATCCGCTATCTCATTCTTATCTAATTACTCTTATACTTTTATTCTGCCCTGTTTTGCCGTCTGCCGCTACACCTTTATATCCTATACTTTGTTTATGCCTGCCTGATAAATGCTTAGTAAGAAATCTAGTTGAGTTTTATATATGCCGGTTGAGAAAATAGGAAGTAAGCGTTACTGAAAGTCCAGCCACGGTACCACTCTTAGCTTAACGATAACGATAAAACATAAATTCGTTACACATGATTGAGTTTTTGGCCTTGGGAAAATAAAAAACCATGCTGAACAAAGTTCTGCAGCACCGACCAAGGCAATAAACTCGCGGAGTGACGACTATAATTTATTACTAGTGCGATGATTATCGAATTTCTAGGCCAAAGTACCCTTGAAATTTCTATCATAGGACTGGACCTGTCGCAAAACTTGCAAAACGTTGGTCGCCATACGACTTTGGTATGTTCCACATCAGCTTTGACCTTTTCTTAAGCCAAAGCCATGGGTCTTAGAGCAAACAAGACGGCCAAAATACAAAAAAGGGCTCGGCATTTTGAGAAATCACTGATCGCTTCTATGTATTAGGTTAATGCAAACATAATGATAAACAATATAAAAAATAGTGATAATGAACATTACAAAAATAATACTTTGCTAATTCTCATTTTGACGTGCTGCAATTTTCAAAGAATTCTACATTCTCAGATGGACTTCTGCAGTACAGCGTAGATTTATCTATACTCACATCACAAACGGGCAGAAATAAGGATTGGAAAACAGAAAAGGTTTTTCTGTAAAACCTCGTTTTCGACAAATCATAATCCCTTCAAAGTGTGTTGGTAATGATAAGTTGCTTACTTGTAGCTGCAAGTCAGTAGGACAAAAGAAATTGGAAAGTGCTGGGACAATGAAGATCTGCGGAAAGGAAAATAATTGGAATCTAAAATTGTCAGCTTTTTCGACATTCTTCAGCATGCGTCGAACTTCCGAATTATAGAATTTACTGTGTATTTTTTGCGTACTGAACAGCTGTATGTTTCTGCAGAAATTATCAGAAAGAAATCTTGAAGGAAAAATGTTGTTTTGGAAAAAAAAGCAGTACCCCGCTCATTGTTTTTGCATCAACCTAATATAAGTATTTTGCTACCTTCAGGTTACTATTTAAAAATCGGTCATCGCTTCAAGTTTAAAAAAATTTTTATATATCCTTAATTTTTCTACATGTAGAGTGCAGCCGTAGGAATAATCCATTCTCATTTTTTGAAGCAAATTAATATTTCCTGCTTATAATATTCATGTTGGCTCGTCATGACATTAAGTTCCAAGGTGTGAAACTCCGGAGGTTTTCATTAGTGCTGCAGCCGCGTTCTTATAATTCTACCAAAATTTAATCGAGAAAATAGTCAGCTTGTAAATCAGACAGCACATGAAACAGTTTTAGCCTAAGAGCTCAATCTGTCCGGTATCTATTCTTTACCAGAAGTCTAAAGTAACAGTTGAAAAGAAAGGAATGTTAACAGGTAGACGGATGAAATAGGTAGCTGGATGAATAAATTTGGTTATCATCCATTAAAGAAGTACTGTGTTCTGCTACGTCGAGGGACACCAAATCGCAGCTTTCGAGGTCATATATATACACAGAAATATATGCTCCAAGGCGATTGAGTCATACGATCTTCATGGTTTTGAGCAATGTCATATATACAGTTTGAATTTGATGTCATATGCTCTGCAAATGAGTCATTTGCTCAACAACAAATTGCATTTGTAGTTCGTGCATTTCATTGAAAAAAAAAACGCTGAGCACGTCAAATGCGTCGTAAGCTGTTTTCAAAGCAAATATGCTTCTGAGGTGAGGTGTATGATAAATGTTTCACACATCCCCTTTGCTTTTTGCCATGGAATTTTAGGCTGTCCTGCGTAAGAAAGGCAGATCTGTGTGATAAAAGAAGAACAATAGGTGTGACGACAAATACGGTGCTCCGGTGCCGACGTTTGCCGACAACTTTGGTGCGTGCTCACGCAAGTTATTATGCTTGCAATGCCGGCAAATGGCGCGCGCAAAATGCCCGCAGAACGCATATTTGAAAGTTTTGCACCGTTTGATAATTTGTTTACGCGCAAATGTTATCGGCAATCGTCGGAGGTGCACTATATTTAGCGCCAGATCTATCAGTATAGAAGAGGAAAAATAGAGCCGAACGAAAATGTGCAGAAACTCCATATGGTAAGGCTACTTCGCTTAAGCGTTAGCTTTGTTTTAGCGCGCGTATAGCTGCTTACTGGTGGCAGCCAGCCCCTGAAAAAAATTTTACAAGGTTAGTTTGACTTACTAGAAATTTTCAAGAAATTATTTCAGTTATTTACAAGCATAAGCAATTCACTTGCACATTCATTCAGCTCAATTCATTGCTAAGTATATATATGGCAGATGAATACCGCGTTGAATAAAGAGCACATGTTTTTAGAGTTTCATTACCACACATATAAGTTAGTGAATATTTCAAGGCATGAAATATCTCACTCCACAATCGTTCGCAAACTTCAGTATCAATGACGCTTGCTCAAAAGCTGCTATCACAACACAGACACTCATACATAATTCGAAAATAGCTTGAGGATGGATGAACAATGAAATTCATAGTTAATTTGATGGCATTTTTGAGTTTTCTGTAGAGAAATGCATTTCTCTTGAGCAGCCATTTCCAGTGAGTAAAGATGAATGCTCTTTGGACTGCAGGTTCGGATCTATCTTCCTTATCTGCTAATGGATTGATCAAAAATAAAGTTGTTTTTACTGCGCTTGTATCTTATATGCGATACAACATCTGACATGAACAAGTACTGCAAAAAAGGTCGCTTATCAGTTAATACATTCGTAAATTCAGAACAAAAGTTTCACGACGCATTAGATGTTACATAATTAGGACTGGCCAATAATTTTTCAATCCATTCGAATCACAGAATTCTGACTAGTGTACCTAGCTTCAACGCGGCTTCTTAATTTTCGTACAATACGAATACCGGGAAGAGAAATAGAACCGGATATATCATACAATTTCAGTAGAGACGTGTCTTTATAAGCCTTGTACCGCGTAGGACAGCTAGAAGTGGATGAATGAGTTCTTGCAAATCCTGAAAATTTTTGCTTTGCTCATTTTCAAAACTTTGACAAACTCAAAATTACCCTAAAGTAGGCTTCAAGTGATGCCATTCCATGTGAGAAGAACAGGTTGTGTTGCAGCTTCGATATGTCGTTCGGCATTGGCACGAATCCAACGTTGTTCAACTACAATATTAATTTTACAATTTAGAACGAAATTTTTTGAGTCTACTTACTTTGTAATACTCTACAAATGTGATATTAGCCAGCGCTAATGAGCGGACTGCGAGTGGTTGTGGCAAAACCTGAACCTAGACTCAGTGAAAGATAGATTACAGTAATCACACGTGACATCGCAAGCATCAAGCTTATTATGATCACGGTGACACATACTTTCTTTGGAACCGAAGATTTGAAGGAAAGCACCTCTGCGTTGGTAATGATGGGCAAAACATTCGTCTTCAAGTCATCTCCCAACATGTGCTTTACAGCGGCCAATTCATTGATGAACGGCCAACCAAGATTTCTTTCATCGCTTTTGAGAACGATCGAAATAGCGTCGAGTCGGAATGTGCCCGCTTCGCGAAGCTCCTATAAGTAAAAAAAACGGTTAAAAGTTTACGTAACTCAATAACGCATTGTAGTTAAAGTTGCAAATTGAAACCGATTTTTACTGTTCAAAGAAAAATGCATTCATCTCCATACGTTGAACAATACGATAAGAAGGTTCACAGATGAGTATAGGGTATTTGAAAAATCGTGACGTTGACGCGACCGCGCGCAACACGCACGCCACTTATGGGAATGACATTTTCTTGGTTTTCATCTCTAGTCGAGTTGTTTTTTGCTCAAGTATGATAAAGTTTAGATAAATGGAAGTGACTGAGCTGAACGTAGAGGTGATGCCCCCTTGTATGAGCGTTTTATGCTTCTGTGGGCGCAAAGTCCGCAGTAGAATCCGTCGTCACGATTTTATACATAAACTATACATGGGACAGCCTCTTTGCATTGCTTGACATGGCGCTTCCGATTGGTCACCACATTGGCTGCGATTGGCCAGGCTCTAAAAGGCGGCGCAAGGGGGAGTGCCAAAGCGATCGACGATTGCCTAGCTTTTCCTGTTACTAAAAAAAATTCTTTTCCGTACGCTGCCATTTCTACCTATAATAAGAATGTTATGTTTAGATGTTAAGACTCGTAACCGATTGGTAATAACTTGAAGTGACTGCTTGGATTGCTAAGAGTTTTGCAAATACGCATTGAATATCCCTGTTTTTAGAAAGCCGCACTATGCTTGGAAATGATTTTTATAAGCAAGCTTAAAAAAATAGAAAAATATTGATTTCATAAGCCTACACGCTGCAGAGGATTTGCGTGGCTATTTCTTTTCAAAACAATTGCAGTTTATCACCATTCTGGCTGTAGAAATTAGAGAGCAACATGGTCTTGGATTTTCCAGATTATAAGGGTACTTTTTGATAAAAATTGGGAATGTTTGCCATGGAACTGCTTTATTCTAGGTAGATGCATAATATTTGAGAAATGACCTGTCAATTTTTTCTGGATTGAATATAGTTGGAGGAATATGGAAATCCGTGAGCAATCTCAAGAAAAAAGGTGACAGGTGAGAGGAGTATGAAGCAATCTCGAACCTTGAATGTAGAAGAGCTTATAGTTTTACGCAATTTTCTGAAGTTTGAAGGCTTCTGAATAATTTCTATAGGCTTCTGAAGAGAGGGAGGAGGACTTCTCGCTGCTTTTGACGCAACTTAGAACTCAAGATGAAGCTTACAAGGAAAGAATACTGACTTAGATACGCCTTTTGGGATGAGACACATATACTTGAAATCACCTTGGAACGCTGATCCCGAATATGCTGTTTCTAGAAGCTTAGCATTGTTCTGAAGCGAGTTATGGTCTCTTTTCTATGAAAAGTTTGCGTGCTTCTCGACCTACTGATGCTACGGTGTCGACGGCTAGGTGGTTTTGCAACTGTATAATGCTCGTGATCGAAAGAATTAATTCAATGTTTAACATCCTAGCACTTTTTCGAGAAGATTCTAATCTACACGCCGTCTTATGACATTCAAAAGTTTGTTAATATCTGCTCCAAGACGAAGGCGGTGGCCCAAATAGGTTGAAAGCATGCAAGGTTGGACGCGCACGCGGCGCGCGGGCAATTGTCAACCGCGGGGCGCGCGTATGCTTCCGTGACTAACCGCTGACCAAGCGTGCACGCGCCCCGTGGTTGACAATTGCCCGCGCACCGCGTGCGCGTCCAATCTTGCATGATTCCAACCTATGTACAGTAAGTTTCGACCCGCTTTAGGCGGAAATTGGACTGGCGGGAGTCCGCCTCGCAACAGCTCGCGCCGTTTCGCAGCTACAGTATTTCCTATCGTGCTAGAACCCATGTCTGCGTCTCTTCAATTTCCTTAGTCTTTGCTTGGCAAAATGCCAGCGCTATGCGTTCGCAAAGCCTCCAGCGATGCGCATGCGCTGTTCCACGTAGAATATCTCGCCTAATCCAGGATGAAACCGACTGTAGGCGACCGCCTTCGTCTTGGAGCAGATATTAATTACTCACAACAGCAAACCCATAACTCGCTTCGGAATAACGCTAAGCTAGGAACAGCATAATTGGAATCGTCAAAGCTGATACCATGTTAGTTGGATCATGAGACAAGTAGTACTCACCTCTTCAAACCATGTTTTGACAAGATTTGAGACGAGATCACTATTCGACCTCGGTACTCCAGGTGTGTCAACTATTGTAACGCTGAATGGCAGTACTGTATTGTGGAACACATAAGAAGTTAGCTTGGTCGTTTTTGCAGGTTGCACGTCGAGCACAAATCTAAATTTTTAGTAAAAAAGCGATAAAGCGTAAAGACCATTAAGTCTTATACCTGAAATGATTCTCCCTTTTGACATCATACAAATAGTTTAACATACTGTTAATCGTTGTTGTCTTGCCTGATCTGATGGGACCGAACAATAGAATTGTCTGAACAATTGTATTTTCTAGCACAGAAATATGCTGTTAAAGGCAGCGTCCAGGCAAGTCTGGACCTATGGGGATTTTACGTGGAAAGTACTTTTGGGGCCCTAACTAAGCCACTGCCCAACCGGCAGCTCAGGTAGTGCCCTAACGCCTGAGATATTCCCCTCGAAACTGGACCCCGCGACCGTGTTCCGCATGGATTCATGGCGCAAAGCGTGGATCCTGGCGCGAAACTGCCATGAATCCATGCGAGTACGTTCGCGGGGGCCAGTTTCGAGGGGAATATCTCAGCCATTAAAGCACTACCTGAGCTGCCGCTTGGGCAGTGGCTTAGTTTGGGCCCCAAATGTACTTTCCACATAAAAGCCCCATAGGTCCAGATCTGCCTGGACGCTGCCTTTAAAAACAATTTATGTTACCTTATCTTCATCGGTGGGATCCTGCTCACCACCGACTACGATTTTGTTAATTGTTGCGGTTGCCGAAAGTCCTTTCACCATTACCATTTCTGGCACAACCATGTTGATATTACCTATGGTTGCTACCTAAATCAAGAGTCAACAAATGTTGTTCACACGATTGCCAGCGATGGATGAGACCGGAACATACAATTTTAGGCTCGAACGGTAAATATAGAGTGTCCCAAAAGCATGCCTGCTGTTTACTGGGAAAAATGTGCCTATTGTTTGATTGTTTATAATTCACCATGGAATCTATCGAAAGATTCAGGTATCATTTTGTAGAGCTAGCTTCAACTTGGATTCCTGGCATGAAGCAAAACGCCAACCCTTCTTTACCAATGTAGGATTACGGTAGGAACCTGCATGTGGCGCCACCGTGAGATAGGCTAATCGAAAAATTTGAAAAAAAAAATCTGTAAAATTGTGTAACGAGATTTAAAGCATGCTGATTTCACTACATAGCTTTTTGCACGTTTGCAGAGCTTTTTGAAACAAAATTTTCGACGTGTATTAGAAATCGGTTGTTACGGTATATTTGGCATAACATATGAGAAGAGCGTTGTGGTAAAGTGCGAGTATCATCTTCCAAATAAGCGACTTTGATAAACTTACAATTAGTTTTCAGCCTCAAATTTGATCCACAATGATGGAAGAGCCTCCATAATGTTCCCACCGTAATTCTACAGTAATAAAGAGAGAACAGCAATCGCTCCATACTGTTAGTCTAGTTCTAAGTTGTAAGTTAAAGCCAGCTCTTCAGAATGGTGTGACAATTTCTTCACGCGCAAGTGCTTTATTTGTCGTCAGGTACTAGTGTGCTAACTAATTTCTCGGTCACTATTCTTGAATTTCTAGAAGACAGCCGACGTTCCAAAACTGCTTATTGATTCTTCTTACATTCGACTCTTCAAGTGTTGGTTGCTTCTTCTTTGTGAAGAAGGCAATAAGCCTGTCGCGCAAATATCTTTGTGGGTGATTCAGGTAGTTAAAATTCAGCGAGCGGTTTGCGTAGGCCATTTATTTTCATGGTGATTCCACCCGTGGCTATTGGTCGGCCAATGACTTCCAAAAACTTACCACTTTTCCGTTGTTCAGTATACGCTGAGCTACTGGACTTATTTTCACAGGTTCCTCATCGTAGATCGAATCGATAGTTCCTATGAATCAAAAGTTTCATATAATGTTAGGTAAAAATCATGTTCAGTTACCGCTGCTATCATAGCTCCTCCTCTCAGTAGTCGTGGAAGATACGGAACGTGCAGGACCAACACGATTCGGAGCTCTCGCCTGAAGCAATAAACCAGAAGGAATAGCAAAGTCGAAGCTTGGCACATACGGCGAATGGAAGTGGCTGGACTGCTTGGACCCTTGCGGTTGGTTGGACCCTTGCAGCTGGTTGGACCTTTGCAGTTGGATGGACTCTTGCAGCAGCTTCTCTTGCAAGCCTTTGTTGCTTTTGCTGACGAAGTCGTTCGACTTCTCTTCTTTCACGCTCCACCTGAGGTTGAAATAAAGTGCTGGGACAGGAACATGATCATATCCTTGGAATTCTGGTTGAAAGGCAACTCAAATTTTGTCCCGGAGCACGGTAGATCGTTTACTGGACGCGGAGCGGCCGCGAACGCGGTGACTGAGTGGTTATTGTTATTGGAGCGCGCGGGTTACAAACTAAACATTACGCACACGCGCTCCGCGCGCGCGTGCGCTTACCTCGTGTGAGCCTTCTTCTCGAACTAAACTTTACAGCTTGCGCTTGTTTTCATTAAAAAATCCTGTGTTCAATCCTCTTTTTATAAACGGTTATTAGTACCTTTTTCTTTGCACAAGAGCTAATCGCTTATGTTATAAATACAGCAGTAAATTACAAGCTGATCTTTATTCATGAGAATTGCAAGTAAAAAATTATTTTATGAGACATGGGGTACAGTTCCGTTATCCGGACCCATTTTTTCTAAGCGTGCTCATGAAATACGTGCTTTATACTAGAGAATTTTTTCATAGATCATATAAGGACTATGGCTCCGCAACATGTCAAGGAAAAAGTTCATACGTTTTGATTTAGTTTGACATGAGTCATCAAAATCATTTCCGGTGAGTTGAGCAACTATCAGAATTGAGTCAAAAGCTGCTCAACTGTTTTTTCATGGAAACGAAACAATCGTAAACGTTGATTAGCTCATATTGATCGCTTTTAACAGTGATTCAAAGCTATTTTCCTCTTCAAACTTTCCGCCATGCAAATTCAGCCAGGAAAGGATAGGATGGCTTAAAGCCGCCCGCTGCCGCTTGCTTCATCACTCCATAGCCTAGACAATTTTCTATTCTAAGCGAATCTAATATGCTCTGAAAGCTGAATGCTTATGTTTGTGAATGGTTATTTATGAGGTTGTTGATTCAAAATTGGGTACATTATCAACTGCAAAACGCATTCAAATAACGCGGGCAGCTAGGCAACTAAACTCTCGGTGAAACCTGTTGAACGTGTACAGAGTGCGCCATACGAATACTAGACCGGCTCAGCCAGAGGTCAAGCTTGATATGGTTTTTTTTGGTTATATAACATCGTATGTTAGTTGAAAAATGTAAAAATGCCTGTTTGGCTTTTCGGTAAAAATTAGTAATATTTCTCTGACTTTGTCACTTGCTGCACGCGGCTAGAGGCTCACAAATCACAAAGGCTCAGCACGTATCTTTTTAGTGACCGCTTCTCTCAGGCAAAGATTTCGTTACATAATAGAGATAGTCCTTCACCTTAAGATCGCTAAGGTTTGGAATCTTTAGGAGCATTCAGAACAAAAATTTTGATTATTCAATAATTTGCGTCTGCGCACGTTTTTTCTGTAACAAACATTGCTTTTTGTAATTCTTACTTCTCTAGGTAAAGACCGATTTGGGATCTGTTATAGTCTTTTTATAGACTACTAGTTGGCAAACCCGGCTCCGCCCGGGCCTGTCAATAATATATTTGTAATCAGCATGCTCGATTACCCCCCTGTGCCAACTCCCAGCCGTGTAGCTCAAATTTTGCAAAAAATCGATAGAATCGATATCGATCGATAACGAAAATAGCCTATGACACGCTCCCTGCCCCGAAGTATATGTGTGCCAAGTTTGGTCCAAATCGGTTCAGAAATAAAAATTGCTATTCCGCACATACGTACGTTCAGACAGACAGACACACATTCAGCTTTATATATAAGATGCTTACGGCATTCTGTGACATTAAAAACAGACCAAATTTCTCATTGCCTTTGTTGTTGCATTACCTTAAATATTTTTGCGCAAATAATTTTGGCGCACGCTGTAAATGACATGTCAAAGTTTTTACACGTGGCAGGGGGGCACTCTTTCCAGTGAAGTTCGCGCTAAATATGGTTCAAAGAGAAAAGTGAATTCTTTTTCTAAAATGGGTTCGGATAACGGAAAGATACCGAAATTTGTACTGGTGTTGATTTGACCAAAAATAGGCTTGCTACTGCAATTCTTCGTGGTAAGCCAGGTGATAAGTCATATCTTTTGTTTTTTCTTCATTAGCACTGAAGCAATAATGCACTTATAATATATCACTTATCTTTGCACTAATGCTGCAGCGCAGGTCTTCGTAATTATCAGTAATGTGCAATGGCTAGGAAAATTGATGCATTTTTTCTGACACTTTTTTATCACTACACTATTGAGCTTATATTTTTTTAGTTCCTTTTTTCGGGGGTTCAGTATAGTTGCGGAATGAATACCGTATTGCAATCGTTAGTCTCGATTAGTCATAAGATAATCTAATATATAAAGAATCGTAAGCGCAATTCAGAAATGTGCAAATAGCGGGAAACCGCGGTGCGGTCCCGAAGCGCGCGGATGCAATCTAGCACCTTTAATTACTGGTTCCCTAGTTGTATTCAAAGGCCAGCAGGATCCTAAGAAGGCTACTTTCGATTACTCATAAAATAATTCTTTTCAAAAACCAGTAGGATCTTGAGACACGCTACAATTTTTACTACAACTATGTACTACGTACTACGGCAACTTCTTTGTCCGGCTACTTTGGTACCCATTAGGTATGGGAACGGTTTTGCAATGGTTCAAGCATATATCACGTTTATAATTACAGCTACAATAGTCCTTGCAATCAGTTATTTGTTTTCTTCGATAAGAAACGAAAGAGCGTTTTTATAGAGGGAAAAACCTCGCGCATACCAAAACATGTTTTTTCCCGTGGTTGAGTCAGTCGACGGATGAAAAGGAAAGCAAATTTTTGCTTCAGTTGGCGGTTAGATTTGTGTTGAGTTCAAGATATCCTTCAGAAATGGAATTTTTGTGTAAAAAAATCCTCCCAGAAATTAGCTGGCACCAATTAGGTTACCCAAGTAAACTCCATTTTCAAGTAAATTAAGCCGTTTTTGTTTTTCCAAAAAGCTTAGGACACCATTCGATAGAGCAGAGCATGCTCCACAGAAAGCCAAAGATCCACCTAAGTCGTAATCCAAGTAAAATTTGAGCCAAAAATAAAAATTTTTCAGCTACCCTAAAAATCGGATCTCCTTCCAGAAAATTCCTACGAACTTCCAACTTGGTCTTCGTATAGTAGATATATAGTAGTACCAAGTAAATTAAGCCGTTTTAGGTTTCAAACCAAGTTTCAAGGTTGTACTAAGTAAGGCTTGCAGCATACATGACGTATGTGGGAGGAGCAGGGGCGGAGTTTGCAATTTTCGAGCTATCTTTTTCGCTTTATATGCATGGAAAAAATCCAACAAAGGCATATTTGGCTACAACTATGTGCCTACTGTATAATGACCAAGTTGGAGGTCCGCAGGATTTTTTCTCACAAGCATTCGATTTCAGGTGATAAAATTGGTATCGATTTTGGCTCAAACTTCATAAAAGATGAAAAACACCTTAAAATTTAGAGAAGGAGTTCACTTTTGGGACAACCTGATAGTTCCCAGAGTGAGATGAAAAGATTCCACTTCTTTTCACTGGCTTCTGTTTAAACAGTGCAACCTCTCTTACTCTCCTTTCCTCCCCCCTCTCTTCTACCCCGTTCCATCAACTGTTTTTGAATCTATTGTATAAATTTATAAACTTACTAGTGCAGCTAATTCGTATTGACGATTACGAGCCTGGGCCACCTCCTCGTTAAGTCTCCGAAGTCTGATCGTTTCGCCGGTACCGCTGGTATAGATCTTATACTCGGGTGTTTCGGTTATCTATAATCGTGGCAGTTAAAACCCAATATTTCAAAAATAAAATTATCTTGAATATACACTGGTGGTCTCTATTCTTTCGGGTCTGACATAGGCAACCTCATTATGGTTAAGGTTGATTTCATCGCCCTAAACATAAACTTTTGAGGAATGTAAAGAGGTAAATTGAAAGCCACAAGACTTTCCAATGTTTAAATGTTTGCAAACTATTTACCGTATAAGTTCCGTCTTCATTGTGTACGTCAAATCCTCCAACTCGGCTTTCTGCTGTGGATACTATGCTGTCATACGTCATGGTCCGTAGACGATCCGCGTGAGAAACTGAATATTAAATTTTTTGAGGTGTAATTTATTGAATTACCTGTACACTCGGGTGGTCATATTGCAATATCTATGTGAGCATGTTTTGAGTTTTTTATACTACTGTAGAAAAAATGATCCCCAACCCGTGTAATGCCGTTCTAGAAATGTGAAGAAAAACCTTTCTGTACTGAGTTGTGTCTTCAAACAATGACAATTTCAAATAAAAGTTGGACAGCAGCCAAGTAATTAAGTCTATCGTTTTACTGTATAAAAATCGACCTCTGACCCATTTCATGTCGTTGTAGAAAAGTGAAGCAACCTTTGTGTACTGATTAATGTCTTCAAACAATGACAATTTTAGATAATAAGTTGGAACGCAGCCAAGGCAAAAAAAAACTTGCAGCATTTTAAAGTTGGCTTTTTTTTGAGCTGGCTGAAGTTATGAAAGCGAAAGAGTCTGTACGAGAGGGAGAGAATACTCATTTCTGCTAGAAAGGTCATGTACAAAAAATATACAAGCGAAAATTTGGCACTTTGAGAAAAATAAAATCGCTTTAGTAACTGAACATGGAACAAATCTGTAACAAAATTAGCTATGAGCCTCTAAAAAGCTGTCTAGAGGTCCATGAATTTCTTCGCTGAGCTGATACAATAACAGTAGTAAAGCGAAATTCGATAAAAATTGCAAAACACGTTATTCTGGGAAGAAATGTGCGTTTTGATGATGTAAGCAGAATTGACTGACTGTAGCCCGTCCATAATTTGCTCAGAGATTGATAAGTGTACATTAAGGACTACAAAAAACACAGGGTGTATGACTGAGACTCCATGAAGCTGAATGTCAAAGCACAAATAGTTGTCTCCATGACTATGCGATGAATATATGACACATCACTTCCGACTTTTAACAAAACTTATTTATAGTCTACAAAACGCCTCTTCACTAGAAAATTCAGACATGAAGGTCTGAGTTTATAGTTTTGTAGAATAAAGACAAGTGAGTTTTAAAAGACGAGTTACAAGAAGACCTTGTGCGTACGCAGAACCGAATGAGCAAGCCTGTGACGTATTTAATGAACTAATTCTGTTCGCTGACTCAGTTGTGGGGCAAAATCTGCTTAGGGCTAACACTGACCATTGTGAAGACACTTAATCCCTAGCGAAAAAAAACTTTAGTGAGCACGTTGTCCCGAAATTTCGCAACGGAACTAATTTCGACCACTACGGGCATACTGTTCTTACCGCGTCGAGATGCTACGGGTGGAGAGCCGTAGGATAGATGCTTCTCGGATGGTGAATGAGATTCGCTGTAGTCGCGGTTATGTCTGAGTTTTACTGGTTCGTCATCATAGTGCTGAAAATGACTGATTTTTATTCATTGGGTAAACGCTACTCCCAGACGAAGGCGGCTGTTCATGTAAGCGAAGCGTGTGCGTGCGCGTACGCGGTATAAGGATGAAAGATGCACGCGCCGTTTGCATTCGCTTCAGAAGAATCGACCGCCTTCGTAGGAGACTTGCCCCTGTACTCGATATTTTAGCCTGAAAAGGATAACCACTTGAGAGAGAAGAATGATGCCCAAAATCAAGTGACTGCGAAAATTTTACGAAAGCTTTTACTTATTAGCCTGGTAGATTTCAAAATCCGTAATCATTTTGTGTCACTGATAACAGTTGCCGGCAAAAATTCTTCCTGGAGCGCAAAAATGGCAGTAGAGCGCATATTTCCAAGTATTGCAATGATTTACGCTCTATTGCTATTCTCCAAGTGGTGCTGACACCGCAAATGCCCTATATTGACACCTAATTCTGCTAGCGCCTTGCTTACACTGATGAGTCATGAACATTAGATAGCACATTCTGCTAGATGTAGGAAAGATACAGGGCGTCCCAGAAATATGAACATGATCGTTGGTAACTCTTTTGCATTCAGGTCTTTCGCCGAGCTGGGGGTATCATCCTGCAAAGCGAGGTTCAACTTAGATTTACAGTATCAACCTAATCATCAATCTTTCTTTATTATTGTAGGGTTACGGCAGGAATTCCAAAAAGGATTTTAGGAAAGTGAAAGCGATTTTTGCCTTAGAAAGAAGACCAAACAAGCCCGAAATTCTTGTACTGGGCTAATAGAAGCCGCTGATGCTAAATATGAACTTTGCAGTTCACAGTTATGCTTCTTTTTGAGTTATTTCAGGTTCAGGAATATCTGTTTTTCCAATGTTCCTCAGAAGTGCGACTACACCATTAAAAGGGCTCAAAACAGTGAGGAAAAGTTTTGTACTGGAATCAGCACGCCTGAAAACTTTACTACACAAATTTTCAGATTTTTTTTGGGGTTTTCCATCAAAAGGCCTATTCCATAGTAGCGGTTCATGTTGAAAGTTCATGCGTAATCCACAAAGAGTGTTTGATAATTTGGTCCATAACATTACTCTAAGTTAAACCTCGCTCTAAAAAATGTGAACAATGTCTAATCGTTGATGACTCTCTTGCTTTCACGTACACAAGCTTGAGTTATCGTTTCACACCCTGTAAGCAGTGAAAAGCCGTGAAAAGCAGTGTACCAGATAAAATTCCTTTCACACCAACCCCCTATAATTTCAATGAATTTTTCGCAGTATGAACATGGGAGTTGCTGAGGTCAGCTTTTCTGATGTAGAATAGAATTGAGGGGCAATGGTTTTGAAACAAAGAGCAGCTCAGAAGTTTTGATGCCAAAGCTTAATGTTCGAAGAGAAGCTGATGAAAATAAATGAAATAACGGAAAGCGACGAACGTCGCCATATCCGTTCTGCAAAGCCAAACGTAAGTCACTCATGGCCGTTTGCATCAGCGTCTCGGCCACTTGATCAAAGGCATCCTGGAATTTACTTTTTTGCCGTAGGATCAAAGTTTAAAAGCTATTTCTTCACACAAATTTTCAGTCAGACATAAAACCTACATTGGCTGCAACTCTGCTGCTTCTCTGACTGCTTACGCTACGTGCTGTCATGACTGGGGTATGATCCTCAGAATGATAGGCATCTTCACCAGCTAGGACATCGTCTATGTGCTTGATAGCATGATCATGATCACTAGAGTCGAGAGTGCTAGTTGCTTGAGCGTTACCATAGCTTACTTCCGGAAGCTTCACTGCACCAAAGACCTTGAAAAATGGTCTTGTTCAGCGTAAAAAAACTGAAATTGTAAATTTATATAATCTTAAGTGCAATCAGTCCTCGCCGCACAGTATAAGAAGATTTGTTGGGGCAGGCAGTGTATAGTAGAGTGTCTCTTCACACGTTGTTTTTTTTTCAAATATTAGGTTGTAACATAAGACACTCTTAAGACATAAGACACTCAACATATTGAGACACTCTCACTTCTTAAGGCGATAAGCCACATAGTTCACATTTTTGATAGGAGTCTAGGATACCATTCTATAGAGCAGAGCAAGCTATACAAGATGGTATACAAAAGTTCGTGTCAACTTCGACCCACTGCAAGTTTGCATCCAACATCTGAGTCGCGAAGGGTAAAAAAATCGGGAAAATTCACATCTTTGTTCAAAAAATCCAGGGAATTTTCAACTTGCTCATAAAAATTGCACACTACATCAGACACTTAAATGTGCCCTTCCTGGATTTTCTTCCTCATTTAGAGATCGAAAAAACAAAAATTTTCATGTTTATACAAAAACGAAGCTATGCTGTTTCACTCATACAATTGTATGCTACAAACCCTTACGGGTATAATCGCATCTTTTCAGTTTTCCACAAGCCCTAGTTTTTGTGAAATATTGGTTTTAACATGGGACATCCAAGGGAGGAGGCTAAATTCAGTAATTTTCAAAAACTAGGGCCTGTGGGAAGCCGAAAATTTACGATTATACTTCTAAGGGCCTGTGGGATACAATCACATGGGTGAAAACAGCATAGCTCCGTTTTGTATAAACATAAAATTTTTCGTTTTCTCTATTTTTAAATGAGGAAAAAAACAGAAATGGTACATATGAGTGTCTGATGTAGTGTGCAATTTTAGTGAGAAAGTTGGAGATTCGTAAAATTTTTTTTTGAATAAAGATATGAATTTTTCGGATTTTTTTAGCCTTCAGTACGACTCAGGTTTTGGATGCAAACTTACAGTTCGAAGCTGCTGCGAGTTTTTTCATACCATCTTGTAGAGCTTGCTTTGCTCTATCGAATGTTGTGGGCCTCCTACTGAAAATGTGAAATGTATGACTTATCGCCGTAAGAAGTGAGAGTGTCTCAAGACTTACGTTACAACCTAATATTTTTTTATAAGCTAAGGATTTCGATTACATATACCTTGCAGCAAAACTGGGATATCACAAGTTCCCTCCAGATTTCACAAAACCGTTTCATAACTAACAATAAGATAAATTAGAAGTGATTAGATGTTTCTAGGAGGAGAGGCTGTTATTGAACACCTTTCAAATCTTAATGCTCTCTGAAATGAGATATGCAGTATCCACATAGCCAATACGAAAAGATACTATGCAGATCAAAACGGTCACCTAAACATTTCGATCGAACCTTTTTGGAAGTTTGCATAAAGAGTTGTGTTTCCAGGTAATATGTTGTATTACGTAATGTCACCTCCTAGTTTTACTACTGAAGATTAGAAATAGTATGGGAAACATCTACATCAAAACACTCGAAAATGTGATTATCTCAAATTATTTTCTATTTCTGGAAGTCGAATAGCAGTACTCAGCCAACAAAGCTTGCATAACAGAATAACAAACTTGAAACTTCTAATTATCTTCTAAATTATATTGTGTGCCATTCAGATTTTTTTTACATCACTTGCAGAATACTGAAAAATGCTTCCAAATTTTCCACTAGAAATCTTAGAAATGCTCTTTTAACACTACCCCTTGATTTTTGTGGAACTGATGCGCAATTAAGGTCTACAGTCGAATCATTTCATTTGATCGTGTGTGTCCTTGCACACACTGTTCATTTTGGCGTGACCATTTTGGATTCATGAAGCCAACGACCCTCCAGGTAAGTGTTCTCGACTGTTTTCATTGTTTTCTACTCTTTCTAGGTACTAATCATCTCGAAGCGATATAAGCGATAAGAATCGGTCAGAATTTTGCGTTTTTGCGAATGAAATTCCAGGATGAGGACACCAAAGATGGAAAGTGTGTGCAATGCCACACACGATCATATGATTCGACTGTACCTGCCGTTCGTCACGTAAGAACTTGAGAGGCTTCACAACTAATTCTTTAGCCCTCTACACTATTTAGTATGTGGTCATTTTCTCCCACATTTCACAATCTTTACGTATTTCATGAGTATTTACCGTTGCCATCAAATCCTCCTCATCTTTGCTTCCGTTCACGGTTGAACGACGAGACTCTTGCTTGTTTTCGTTCTGCTCATTGTGCTCGGTGAAGGACCGACGAGGATGCGGTTCTGGTGGCTCTTCTAATACTATAGAATCTGCATTGACCTGAATATTCGAATTTTTGACTATAAGCTGTGAGATATATGATTAAAGAAGTTGTTGCATTGAATTTTCGCCATTTTTTCGCAGTGGTGTGAATTGACCCAAACATCGGGAATTTGATTTATGTATCTTTACAAGACATAGCTGTAAATTCCCACGTGCTAAAAGTATTTAGAAACAAAGAAAATCACTAAAGCTGTCAGATTATGTAGCTGTAGCTGACGAACAGGTGCTGAGCTTCTCATAACAGCCTGATAAGAGTGCTATGTAGCAAATTATTGTTGCACCATAAATCTAGCGACCATAATTTTCTAAGATTACGGTAATCCTGATTACTGTAAAGTAGATGAGTATAGTACCTCAACCTTATGTACTAACTGTGACGAGTTATACTCCGTTGTTGATGTGCGCTTCTGAACCTGGAAATATTGTTGATCGAAAAGGATTACTGTATTCAGAAGTGTAGAAAATGTGAATGGTTACTTACCTCCACCTCTTCAACGTAACTCGACTTGTGAGAGACGGAATCGACTGGCTTGGTGTCCAAGTTGGCGTTTTCCTTGTCCATGACAAATGCTTTGAAAAGAAACAATGATAGCTGTCATTTTATGGCTGTGATGGACGAAACGGAAGAAGAAGTCCTTACACGATAGTGAATCAGATTTCGATGCCAAATAATTGAGTTGTTGGTGAGAAAATTTCATGCTTTAGTAACTAGTAGTCTTGTTTTGCTGACTCATCAAAAAGCATGGGGTTTAAGGTCAGAAATGCATATTTTTTCAGAGCTGAATTTGATGCGAAAGCGCTAAGACCTTACATCTGTCACTTACAAAATTCAATCGTATCAGCGCTAAGACTCTGTTATTCACTCAGAACAGAATTTACGACAAAAGATAAGCTGCAAAAAAGTTTCAAAAGTGCTAATCGAGGTTAACACCTTCTGAATCGATTCAGTTGAAAGACCAATGCACGACCGAAGATGTGTTGCTTGCGTTATCTATCGCCACGACGCGCCCTATACATTCAGTGATAACCGAAATTTTGCTTGCTCTCGAATCCGCATTTACCCAAAACCATGAATTTTTCGGGGGTGTTGGACCAGTTAAGAACAAGAAAATATTAATAACTATAGTGTTGTAGATCGTAATTCCTCAAATAAAACAAAGGTTGACAGCACTTCATACAAAAACTCAGAACAATTTAACGTTTTGCAAGTATTATGTACCTTGCGTAAACTGCAGTAAGTACAGAGATAGTCGTCATCATCCCCAGTAGACACCTACACTCACGTAGAGTTTCCGCTTAATGTAGTGTGCTCGCACTGCTGCTGAAATGCGGTATAATTTGCGCGTGAACAAATAGCTGCGCCTATGACGCCAGCCAATTGCGCGCGCAAAATGCCAGCAATACTGGCGCAAGCACTCGTTCAAGCGCAAACTTTACTGCATTTTACCTGCAGTGCGACTATATTAAGCATAAAATCTACTCGACTGTTAAAGACGTTTTTTTCGAACTGAAATAGACTCGCACTAAAATATTTCACCCTTGATTTACTTGCCAAAGGGTGCCGTGCTCCAAGGCGAATTGGTACAATTCAAATTCAAAATTCGTCTAGGTGTCTAAGGGTATGAGAACGACTACAAATGAAGGCATTATAGCATTACAGCCATTTACAGCTGTAGAAACCGAGATTTTTTGAAGAAAATCCATCCGCTGGAAAGCTATGACTTGACTGCAAACATTGAAATACATGCTTTTGAAACGGACCTTGAGTTATTGCGTATGACGTTCAGGGTGTTCTAAGCATTTCAAGCTAACAACAAAAAAGACAGGATTATCTTGTAATTGCCAGCCAGTAGCGTCGCTTAGATGATAAGAACCAAAATCTAGTCAAAAGACAAGAATCTAAGAAGTCAGACCAAAAATTTTGTTGTTGAACAAAATCCCATTTCACTGCGAAAAAAACATTTTCAAGCAAGCTCAGCTCCTTATCAAATTGCTGCTCTAGATTAGAGAATGTTTAAAAGAAAGGCTTCAAAATGTTTCGTATAACAAAGCGAGCAAACAGTTCTCCTTTACTAAGACTTCATTCCAGATTTTCCAGTATAAAGCATTCACATGCACAAAACAAATCCGGTAACGCACCATTTATCATACATCGTATTTGAAAAGATGACAGTAACAAAGTAACATTAAAAAAGAATAAATAATCTTGAGATACGAAAGTGAAGCAACCGAATGCAATAAACAAGATGCCGAAGAAACATTGCTTCCTGAATTTATCAGCAGAAGCGGTAACCATTAGGACTTGATAAGACGCTCCCGTATACTGACGTTACCTTACGTAATATGACAGGATATACCCTCGTAAATGGGACATAAAAGCAAGGAAAACATTTCAAGATCGAAGTAGAGCACAAAAATTTTAGATTCACTGACTAATAATTTTATTTTGAACAAAAACAAAATTTTTTGCAAGTTTACTAGCTTATATCTTATTGCGTGGAAGTTGTTTTGAGTCTTTGCCATAAAAATTCACTGTCTCGAATCTCTCAAAGTATTAGTTTGGAAACTAAGTTTTGCAACTCACTAATTGATCTTGCTCTTGTCTATTATAAAACACTTAAATTTTGCCAGTATATAGGTTATGACGTAAGCTACAAGCATAGCCGCTGTTCCGCCACATTCTGACGCCGCAGTGGGGATTACGGTAGGTATATGGTAAGGAGAAAATTCATGATGGATTGGTTGAAGCTTGGCATGGGGGGGGGGGTTATCCAACATGCTGATCACGAATGATATACTGAATTTGCATGGTAAGGGCTTTTTGTAAGATTACTTTAGCTTTACGATGGGGTCTCACCCTATACAATAGAAAAGCCGTTAATTCAACAGACGAATATGATATTCGTGTTTAGCAGGCCGAATAACCTCACTATGTGAAGTCTCCGCGGATTTTGACGCTCCCACTCCTTAGTCATCAATGGTTGTCTCCAAAAGCATTGCGTATTTCAACTTCGTGAGGGCGCTAGATTTCGACTTGTTTTTTGATTCTACTCGTTTCCTACTACGCCAAATGAGTCAACCTCAAGCAATAATTCGATAAAGTTTCAAATCACTTTGCATGATTTGGTTCCCAAACGGCTTTACTCATTTTTGCTGATAACCTCAATCCTCGAAATTTACAAATTTTGGAAAAATGCTTGTTATTTTTTCAATTCCTTTTCAAAAATCAGACAGTTTGCGCTCGGTTCTAGCACATATTGAGGTCTGCAAACAGCCAAAGTGAGTGCGACACGTTCAGAAAGATAATGTGTTATGAAAGCAGTTGCAAAACTTAGTTTCCAACCTAATAATAAAGCATTTATGTTATAAATCCGGAGCACAGAAGAGTGATTTTGTAAGACACATGTAATTCCTGGCTACTTTGCTTGCAATGATAATAAGATATTTGTTTTTGCGGTAGATTTTTTGTGGTAACTAAAAAATGATCCTCACAACTGCAGATCGTTTTGGGCTCCCAGAGTACTTTATTTTGACCATCTACAACTCTGCCAATAAAAATTCAAAATGATAGTGCCAAAAATAATTCACGAGCGAATTTGATTTTTTTTTCACAAAATATTAGGTTGATTCATAATTAATGCACGTTTTTCTCACCTCTTCTTCCAAAAGCTGGTATTTGATGAGTAATTGATGTGTAATCAATTCCCTCAAAAACTTTTTAGCTATCTGAGAGAGCGTTTTTTCTAGTTTCTTATGTGGCCCTTCGCTTTCGTACATCTCTGTTCATTCCAAAGTTATGAGCCTTCAAATAAAAGAGACTGAATCCCAAAATTTTTGCTTTTCACTTTTTTTGCCCCAAATCCATGAGGAGTAGGCGGATTAGTTATGAAAAAATGCATAATGGTTATGAAACTTAGTGCTACAAGATGCTATTTAAACAAAATTCTCCATGAATTCTGAGCCGAGAAATTCAATTGCGAACTTTAATGATGGTCGCGGCCCTTCCGTGCCATATAAAACTTTGAAGCAGAAGGCGATTGCAGGTCTTTTGCACTATCCAGCAAGGGTAGACCTAGTTCATTTGATGGTAGAAAAGCGCTACGGTTTCCTCACTTTCCAGCTGAGATAATTGAAATAATGTCAAAAATGACCGATTTTTGAATCCACCGAGATGCCAAAAAAAGTGAGTACTTTCAACTTTTTTGCGATATTTTCTTTTTGAATTTTTTTCGTAAAATCCAAGCTTGGCTACTGCTCTAGAGACCCTTGGCTACACGATGAGCAAAGTCTGCTTTATCCTACTTCATTCAAAGATAAGTTATGTTTTCTCAAAGTAGAGGCTTCTGAAAAAAGTTGTTGGCAATCTTCAGGCCAGAAAATCTTTTCTGTGATAGATACAGCCACGCAATAGTACATTGTTATAGCCACTGATTTGCTGGTTACAGTACTTTTTATTTCGCCCAGAAATGTCTTTTTAGAAAAGAATGATTTTGGTTCAAAATTGAAGTATAGAAAACGTGCATTAATTATGAATCAACCTAATATCACCACGAAATTTTTGGTGATAAGATAACCTCACTTTCTTACATCCAAAACATTTTTTACTCAGAACATTTACCGCCTTATCTTCCTCTTTAAATACCTTTCTGATGAAATCAGCAAAAATCATCGATAAATTTGCTTGCAATATTTTTTTCCAAAAAGCTGTCAAAAATAACCTGTTCCTAAGCCAAATTGACAGATGAGTAGCACCAATAGGTAAGTCAAAATAAATTTGTACGCTTATTGTGTGATTTTTACCTGTTTTTACCTTTTCTTACTAACATAGGTGTATCTGACAGCGTGAAGACCAAAAAGGAAAATATTAAGCTATTTCATGAGAATCAATCAGTAAACAAAAACAATCATTTACATGCCCCAAAAAGAGAACCGTGTAGAAGGTCTACTTAATAGTTCTGGTAGTTCCCTCCCCCCCCCCCCCCCCACATTCCCCATTCCTCATAAATGAGCTTCTACACGGCTCCACTCTCTTTGTCATAATGGCATAGGATTGAGAGAATTCTTCAGGTTACTGTAGCCATCAACTGTGTTGTCGCAACTGTTTTGTTTACAATATCTGTGCCTTGATAATTGACGTTTCTTCTTTCGATAGAATCTTGTACATTTGCTAAGCAAATAACGTGATAGATAGATAATGATTTGACAAATCGAGATCAACGAACCACCGGCCCATAACGAGAATTGACCTGAAAATGTGTTTTTCAGCATGAATCAGGCATAGTATTGCCTTTGCAAAATTATTTTGTCTTTTTGCCTTGAATTGATTTGCAAATTTAGACAACAATGTAACTTTTCCCTCAAGTTCTTAGTTATATTTTAATTTTTCTGTTCATTTTTTACACATCTTCAGTTTATATTTCCTTCCTTCAATCAAATGAAAGCTTGAGAATTAATGTCGAAAAGTACCAAATTTTTCAGCAAATGAAGAGTGGAGCAAATTTATATGAAGCGGGCAGCAGCACCACTTCATATCTCCTTTTTCGCTGAGGTTTTTTGTTGTTTTTTTAGGTCC